GCTCGGTGTTTAACGCTGGGCAGGGAAAACATTTGGCCTCTGACCCAGCGCCTGTTAACAACGTCCCGCTCCACGTTGCTGACATGCCGGGGCTAAAAACAGTCCTGGTGACTCAGTCCCTGGCTGCTGCTGTCAACTGACCCCGGGGTGGCTCTGCCAAGCCCCTCCTTTGCCTGCTCCTTCTGCCTCTCAGAGCTCGGAGTGTGGGGAAGGAGCCTCTGGATGGGGTGGGATGGCTCCCAGGGGTCACAAGAATCCTGCTCCTGGGTGGAAAGAGCCTCTGGATGGGGCTGGGATGGCTCCCAGGGGTCACAGAGCCCTGCTCCTGGATGGAAGGAAGCTCTGGATGGGCTGGGATTGCTCCCAGGGGTCCCACACAGCTCCTGGGTGGGTGCTGGGCTCCCCATCCAGCATTGCTGCTCTCTGGGGTTGGAGCTGGGGTTATCCTCCCGTTTTCCCTCCCATCCCCATCCCAGGGGCTGGATGGGGTCTCTGGAACCTCTGCTGCTGGGTCAGGGTTTCCAGGGGTGGCCCTGCTGCCAGGTCTGTGGGGAGCAATCCCTTCCTGAGCCCCTGCTCCTTCCTGGAGCTGCCCACCCTGAGCATTCCCAGGAGCTGAGCTGAGCCCTGGCACGGGGGGTGCCCTGGCAGGCCATCAATCACCCCGTGGTGGCCTTGCCAAGGGCGGGTGAAAGCCCCAAGGGGCAGCTGGGGCTGGTCCCAGCTGGGCAGGGCCACCTGGCTGCAGCTGCACTCCTGGCCTGGGGCTGCAGGGAGCACGGGGACGTGGTGCAAAGCACCCTGGGGTGTCCCCAGCGCTGTCACACAGGTGTGCTGCTGGCACTGCCACTCTGGGGACCAGCTGGGAGGGCTGGGGGAACCCCAGGTGCTGCTGAGCTGTCACAGGGTGGTGGGGACCTCAAAGCTCAGCTCATTCCATGGGCAGGGACACTGAAGGTGTCCCAAACCCCGTCCAGCCTGGCCTGGGGCACTCCCAGGGATCCAGGGGCAGCCACAGCTTCTCTGGGAATTCCATCCCTGCTCCCCCCACCCTCCCAGGGAGCAATTCCTTCCCAAAATCCCTAAATCTATCCCTATCCTCTGGCAGTTTGAAGCCATTCCTCCTTGTCCTGACACTCCAGGCCTTTTTCTCTCCCCATCTTTCTTGCCAGCTCCCCAAACTTTGCCTTTTCCAGCCTTTTTTCCACCCACAATCCAGGTGCTTGCTCTGCCCCACTCTGGGTGGGGGATCCCTGCGTGCCACATCCCCTGCAGTGACAAGGGACAGATTTGCCCCTCTGCATTTACAGAGGTGTCCCTGGGACACACCCAGTCCCGGGTGGCACTGCCTGCATCAATTTTTCCACGCTTTTTCTCAGCCCTCTTGCTCACTGCTGTGCTGCAGTGACAAAAAACAAGCAGGTTTGGAGAGGGTTTTTTGCAACTTCCCCCCCTACACCCCACGTGGCTGCTGAAAAAGAGGAACACGGGGCTGGCCCGGGTGAGGGGGAGCTGTGACCTGCTGGCACTGCCACCTGCAGGGTCCCCAAGCCCCTCTGTGACCTGCAGGGTCCCCAAGCCCCTCTATTCTGCACCCAGTAACCCCAGCCTCATTGTCCCCTGTCCCCTGTCACAGCAGGGTGACAGCAGAGCCTGTCCCCAGGCTGGGACACACACGGGATGGATTTGTGGCTGTGTGATGAGGTGACAGCTTGGTGACATCAGAGCAAGCCCTGGGCTCGGGGCTCCCCGGGCTGGGGTCCCTTGTGCTCCCTCCCTGCCACCCCCGGGTTTGAGAATGAAAAACGAGGAAGGAAGGAAGGAAGGAAGGAAGGGAAGGCTGGGCCGGCCCGTGGCGAGCGCCAAAGCTGTTTTCACTTCTTTCTTCTCCTTTTCCTTCTCACTGCCCCTCAGTTCCCAGCCCAGCTGGGGTCAGGGTGGGTGGATGGTCCCTGCCCTGTCCCCCCTCCTGTCCCCAGGGTCCCCTCTCCCTCCCGGAGCTGCTGATTGATTTTTCCACTGGTAAACGGCCCCGATCGACCGGGAAATAAAACACAGGAGGGGCCTGCTGCAGTGACTTTGGGGGTTCTCCTGGCTCCCCGTTCTCAGAGGGGTGGCAGGAGGTGTGTGGCACCTGCCGGGGGTGCTGTGGCCGTGCCAGGCACCCGGTGCCACCTCCCCTGCCAGGGTAAGGCGATCCCCGCGGCTAAATCTGGAAAATGCCTGCGGGCAGCTTGGGTTTCCCAGGCACACCTGAGCCTGGGGACGCTGCTGTGGCTCCTCCAGGTGCTGTGTCCCTTCAGGTGGCACTGGGTGGCCCCTGCCAGCTCGGGCAGTGGCTCTGTCACCAGCCTGGCCCCCAGCACTGTCTGTCCGGCACGTCCCAGCGGTCGCTGAGCAGCCACCCCCGTGTCACCAGCGGCTGTCACCGCGGGGCTGAGGGACAGCTCGGGGCTCTGGGGGGCTGAGGGAGGGCTGGGGCAGCTCTGGGGATGCTCCAGCTGGAGCCACCCCCGAGTGCCACTGGGGGCTCGGGTTCTTGCTGATGTGACACCCCCGGAGGGAGAGCGAGGAAGGGCCAGAAATAAATAACCAGAAATAACCAGAAACAACCAGAAATAAATAACCAGAAATAAACAGAAATAAACAGAAATAACCAGAAATAACCAGAAACAACATAACCAGAACAGAAATAACCAGAAATAACCAGAAATAACCGAACTCCTGAGCAGCAGCAGGGACGTTGGGAAGGGAAATGCATTCCCTGGCTCCAGCCCTGCCGTGGGGCTGGGGGTGCTGCTGGAGCATGGCTGCAGCCTGGACAGCCCCTGTCCTGTGCTCCTCTGGGCTGGAAAAGTGGAGTTGGGCTGTGGAGAGGGGCTGGGATCATCCAGATTTGATCCATCCCTTTTGACCCCTCCATGCCCTTCCCAGCTGCTCCAGCTCCCACTCCAGTGGTGCCTCCCTGGGCACCAGGATGAGCCTGGGAAACCTCTCCTGATTTTTCTATCTCCCCACCCTTGCTCTCTCTCCTGCCTCTCCAGCTCTTTCAAAGGGTTCCCAACTGTCCTCAAAGTGTGGAAAAAAGCTGGAGAATTTTGATTCTTGTGGGTGTTGCAGCCTCCAGGGACAAGGCTGGCTTGGGCTCTCCCAGTAGGGACCAGTCTGGGGCTCCCACTGGTGGCTGTGGCTCAGTGGGAGAGGCACTGGGTGCCCTCCCAGGAATAACAGGCTGGAGCTGCCATTCCAGTGCTCTTGTGGCTGTCCCCGTGGATCAGGGGAGGGTGGGCTGTGTCCCCAGGGTGGGACGTGGGCCCCATGTCCCCATCCTGTCCCGCTGCCACCCTCCTGCCGGGGCTGACTCAGAGTGAAAGCAGAAGCTGCTCAGAATTTTGGGGGCTGGGGGGGAAGCCAAGCAGAACCAAAGGGCTTATTTTAAACCTGACCTAATTTCCCCCCTTCTCCTCACCAAGCCAAGCCCTGGCCACCCTTCCCCATCCTCATCCTCATCTTCTGCAGCTCTTCTCAGGAGTTTTTGGCTCTCCCACCCCCGTTTTCTGCAGCTTGGGGGGGTCCTGCAGCCAGGCTGGGTGGTGGCACCGGGACCAGCGGGGCTCAGTGGGTGCTGTGTTGGGGGTGGCTTCCTGTGACACCCACGAGTGCCAGCCCTTCTTGAGAAAAGCCTCTCTCCCTTCCCTTCGAGTGTTTTGGGGTTGTGCATCCCCTGTGGGTTTCCTCTTAATTCAGCCTTGTTTTGGGGTTGTGCACCCCCCGTGGGTTTTCCCCTTAATTCAGCCTTGGTTTGGGGTTGTGCATCCCCCGTGGGTTTCCCCCTTAATTCAGCCGTGTTCCATCCTCTGGGGGCTGTCTCTGGGGTCTTTTCCAGGGTTTTATTTCTCACCCCACCTCTCCCCCGTGCCCTCCTCCAGCGCTGTTGGCACTTCCCCTTCACGGAGCTCCAGTGGGTCGCTGTCCCCGGCTCTGGGCTCCCATCCCCCTTGGGCCGGGCCACCATGGATAATGAATTCCCCTCCCCGGGCCGCTCAATAGCTGCTCTTGAGCTGTGTCATCCTCCTTGATTTCATTTCCCCTCCGGGTAACGCGTGGCACCGGCTGCGGGTGGCTGTCGCCACCGAGGCCCCTCCATCTCTGAGCTTCCATTTAAACAGCAAAAAAAACCCCTCCAGATTTCTCTGCTTTCCCCTCCCTGCCTGTTCCCCCGGCAGCTTTTCCTTTGCCTGCCGTTCCCTGGGATGCTGCTGCGCTCCTCCCGCATCCCAGCCCCGTGGAAAGCCCTGCCGGCCGTGCCCGGGGGCTGCTCCCCGAGCCCCGGCATCCCCCACCCTGCTCGGGCCGCCGTCCCCTTTGTCCCGGCGAACAAGGGCCGGTCTGTGCCGCTCCGTGCCCGCTGCGGTCCCCCCCGTCCCCGCGCTCGCGTGCGGGTCCCGCACAGAGCTCGCCTTGTTCGCCCCGCGCCCGGCCGGGCTCTGCTGCCACCGGCCCCCGGCTCCTGGCACCCGCCGGCCTTTTCTTGCTGCCCTTCCCTCGCTTTCTCTTTCCCTTTCGCTCCCGGGCTCGCTCTGGGCTCTGCTGTCGCTGCGGTGTTTGGGAAGTGGCTGCGGGGTGAGTGCACGGCGCGGGGTCCTGGCTGCTCCATCGGGGTTCCCTTCCTGCCAGACCCTAATTTCCCCCCTCTCCTTGTCAATCCCCGCTCTGGCCACCCTTCCCCATCCTCAGTTTCCCTTCTCTGGAGCTTCCTGGGGGTGCTTTTGACTTCCTCAGCCCTTTTTTCTGTAAGGAGGCAGCTGTGGGCGGGGGTCTCACAGCCAGGCTGGGTGGTGGCACCAGGTCCTCCTGCCGTGTGACAGCAGGGCAGAGCCATCCTGGGATGTCCCCCCTGCTTTAGTCACCACCCAGTGCGGGCGCTCCGGGACGCCTCTCCGTGCCTCAGTTTCCCCTGTGCGCAAGGCTGTCGGTGACGTGCCGTGTCCCCCCGCCAGGGTGACCCCTGTGGCCGCCAGCCCCGCGTGTCACCATGGCGTCCCGCATCGGGCTGCGGATGGAGCTGATGAAGCAGCAGGCGCAGCAGGAAGCCGAGCGGGAGCGGGTGCAGCAGCAGATGATGATGAGCTACATGCAGCAGCAGCGCATGCCTGTGGCCTCCAGCCCCGCCATCAACACCCCCGTCCACTTCCAGTCCCCACCTCCCGTGCCCGGAGAGGTCCTCAAGGTACCGTGGTGTCCCCTCACCCGGGGGTGGGATGTCCCACGGGGTCCCTGATGGGTTTTGTCCCCGCAGGTCCAGTCGTACCTGGAGAACCCCACCACCTACCACCTGCAGAAGTCTCGGGACAAGAAGGTGCAGGCTTATCTCTCGGAAACCTACGGGAACAAGTTCGCTGCCCACGTCAGCCCCGCCAGCCACTCTCCCAAGCCACCCCCGGCCGCGTCCCCCGGCGTCCGGCCCGGCCATGTCCTGTCCTCCTCGGCAGGCAACAGCGCTCCCAACAGCCCCATGGCCATGCTCAACATCGGCTCCAACCCCGAGCGGGAGGTGAGGAGGTGTCACCGGGCTGCTGGGGACACGCAGGGTGCTGGGGAGGGCGCAGGAGCCCATAGGGACTTGTCCTTTTGCCTTTCAGTTTGATGAGGTCATCGATGACATCATGCGCCTGGATGATGTTTTGGGTTACATGAACCCTGAAGTGCACATGCCCAACACGGTGAGTGGGGGGTGACAGGACATGGGGGTGCCACAGCACTGTCCTTGCAGCTACAGAGGTGGCACAGAGGGGACCTTCTGCCACGTCCCCACAGCGGTGCCTTGGTGGCAGCCCTAGCCAGCCTTGTCCCTGGAGACTGCAATACCCACAAGAATCAATTCTCCAGCTTTTTTCCCCTTGGGGACAGTTGGGAACCGTTTGAAAAAGCTGGAGAGGTAGGAGTGAGGCATGGGGAGATGGGAGAGCCAGGAGAGGTTTCCCTGCCAGGACCTTCCCCAGAGCAGCGCCGTGTCCGGGGCAGATCCGTGTGGCAGCTCGTGCCTCCCAGTGGGATTCATCCTGCCCAGCCCTTCTCAGAGGTGATTCACCTGCCCTATTTTAGATGTTGGTCACGGGAGGGGATCAGCTGTGTCCTTTGAAGTCCTGTTTTCTTTTCAGCTCTGGTGAAAGCTGCTTTAAGCTGGGAGGACGATTCCACCTGCCCGGCTGGGTGTGATACCGGTGCCCAGCCCTGCATGGAGCTAACCCAGCTGTCCCTCTGCTTTCCAGCTGCCCATGTCCAGCAGTCACATGAATGTCTACAGTGGGGACCCGCAGGTGACAGCGTCACTCGTTGGTGTCACCAGCAGCTCCTGCCCCGCCGACCTCACCCAGAAGAGAGAACTCACAGGTACGTCCTGGCCCCAGAGCAAGGGACAAAAATGGGGCTGCCCTGTCCCCATGGGGGTACAGGGGCTCCAGTGGCAGCCCAGGTGTAGCTTTGTCCCCTCTGGGTGACACCGTGGGTCTCTTGCAGATGCCGAGAGCCGAGCCCTGGCCAAAGAGCGCCAGAAGAAAGACAATCACAACCTGAGTGAGTTCAGCCCTGCCTTTTTCCATCCCTCCTCATCCTCACTCCCACTTCCTCTGAGCTGGGTCCCCCTTCCCATCCCAGGAAAGACCCCCTGAGCCCCTCGTTCCTGGCTGTGCACAGTGGGGTACAGGGGACACCCCAGTGTCCTCCTGGAGGAGATCAGACCTGCTGGGCCGTATGGAGCAGGGTTGGCTCCTGAGCTTCCTCATCCTGGGCTCCCCAATCCCACCGGGGCACAGCAGAGGGATGTGGGACACGAGGGACAGGAAGGACACGTGGGAGGGACACGGAGCCTTCCCTGCTCCTGCTGCCTCCTCACTTCCGTGGCTCTCCTGTCACCCGCAGTCGAGCGGCGGCGAAGGTTCAACATCAACGACCGCATCAAGGAGCTGGGAATGCTGATCCCCAAAGCCAACGACCTGTACGTACCCACGGCTCCCAAACTGGGCTCACCGGGGGCTCCTGGGTGAGGAGGGGTGAGGGGCCACACTGCTGGCACCCAGCTCCATCCCTTTCTCCATCCTGGTGACAGGGACGTGCGCTGGAACAAAGGGACAATCCTGAAGGCGTCCGTGGACTACATCAAGAGGATGCAGAAGGACCTGCAGAGGTCCCGGGACCTGGAGAATCACTCGAGGCGCCTGGAGATGGCCAACAAGCAGCTGCTGCTCCGCATCCAGGTGAGCTTCCCTGGGCTCTGCCCTGCCCCAGCCCCACCAGCCCCTCACTCCTGCCCCGCCGAGGGCATGGCCAGGGTGTCTCCTGCTGGTTTTTGGCTGGGAAGTCACCAGGAGGAAGGTCTTGAGATGAACCTGATGTCTTGAGGCTCACTGCAGCGTGCTGAGCTTCGCATGGATCTTCCAGGAGCTCCTTCCCTGCGGGCTTCTCACCTCTGTCAGTGTCCCTGTGCCGTGTCCCCGAGTGTGACACCCCCACCGAAGCCCTGTGTGTCCCCTTGGCAGGAGCTGGAGATGCAGGCACGCGTCCACGGGCTGCCCACCTCCTCTCCCTCGGGCGTCAACGTGGCCGAGCTGGCTCAGCAGGTGGTCAAGCAAGAAGCCAGCGGGGACGAGGGGACCCTGGAGCCGCTGCTGCCACCCCCAGACCCCGAATCGCAGCCGCAGCCGGCGCTGCCCGCGCCGCCCCAGTCTCCCTTTCACCAGCTGGACTTTACCCACAGCCTGAGCTTCGATGACAGCTCCTTCCCGGACAGCCTGGAGCCCGGGCACAGCACTTCCTTCCCATCCCTATCCAAGAAGGAGCTGGACTTGATGCTGATGCAGGACACGATGCTGCCCCTGGCCTCTGACCCCTTGTTCTCAGCCATGTCCCCCGAGGCCTCCAAGGCCAGCAGTCGCCGCAGCAGCTTCAGCATGGAGGACGCGGACATGCTGTGATGGGCAGCTGCCAGGGCAGGGATTGCAGCACCAGCTTTGGGTGGGCAAGTCCCAGGACGCTCCTGGCAGGAGGAACCCATCCCACCATGCACTTGAACCTTCCCAGGAGTACCTTTGTCTATGCAACGGGGCTCGGGTCGGGTGCCACCGTGTCTTTCGCAGCTTCTTTTTTGCCAGGAGGAGAATGGACCTGCCTGGCTTTGCCGTGGCCCTGGCCTGGCTGCAGATTCCACAGCCTGGGAGTGACATCTGGGCTGCTTTGCCTTTCAGCAGAAGCCTCCTGGCCTCACCCCCTTGCCCTGGGGTGGTGCCTGGGAGCCTCGAGCCCCCAGGACGATGCCGCGAGCTTTGTGTCCTATTTGGTGTCTCCTCGCCTTGCTCTGGGATCCTTCATCCCCACCGAGTCTTCCCCAGCCCCTGGATGCTTCCCAGTCCATCCAGTTCCTCCTTCCCGGGAGCACCTGCTGCCTCTGGGGTCACAGCAGGGTGACAAGGTGTTAATTAGAGTGTGTTCGTTAATACGGCACCACCGGGGGTGCTGTCTGCAGGTGGGTGTTGAAGGTTCCAGAACGCCTGGAATGGGGGGGGTTTGATGCTCCACCAAGCCCCTGTTGTCACCCCCACCACCCCAAAACCTCAGGGCAAGGCTGCCAGGTGACCCTGAGTGTCCTCGAGGTGTCCCCGCAGTGGCTCTGCCCTGTGACACCCCCCAGCTCTTTCCTGGGAGGATAAAAGGCTTTTCCACTTCTTTTTTTTGGGGGGATACTTCTCCAAAGTCCTGCCCCACGTGGGCCTGAAGCTCCAGGCTGTGACCAGGGAATGGTTTGTGCCAGCTGCCAAACCTGAGCTGCTGCTCCCAGCTGGGGGTTCAGGGGTTGTTTCTCTTCCCAGTGTCACCAGTTTGTTCCACAGCTCTGTACTGGGGAGCTGCTTTGGGTCCTGACTTCCCGATCCAGCTGGGAAGAGCAGGGGAAGGATGGAAAATCCTCCAGGGGTTATTGAGGGGGAGGAGGGAAGCTGGAGAGGAGAGGAGACCCCTTGGGGATCGTCCCCCCTGGGCTGTGGGGTCACTCTGTGCCCCCATCCTGGAGCTGGGTGTCCTGGGGGGACACAGGTGGCCCGTGGTGGCAGGATTTGGGGGACAGAGGGGCCCGTGGTGGCAGGATTTGGGGGACAGGGGGGCCCGTGGTGGCAGGATTTGGGGACAGCCCCACGGAGGGGCCCGTGGGACGTGAGGGTGTGGGGAAGTGCAGAGGGAGGAGGAGTTGGAGCAGGAGGGGACCTGAGGGGACACTGGGTGACCTGAGAGGGACTCCGGGTGCTCTCCTGGGGATGAGGAGGATTTGGGGGACCTCAGAGCCCCCTCCAGGGCCAGGGGGGGGCTCGGAGCTGGAGCTCTGGGGGTGTTCACAGGAGGCCTTGGCACCCTTTGTGTGCTGCCATCAGTGCCTGGACAGAGAATTGTCCCCAGCAGGGTCACCCTGGCCGTGCTGGGGACCCGTGGGCGTGGGAGAGCCACGGGTCTGTGCCCTCCAGAGGGGCTGGTGGCTGCTCCAGGGCACAAAACCCCACGGGAAATGTGGATTATTGTGGCTTTAGGGTGCCCTTGGGCACTGCTCAGCACGAGATGTCTCCCCTGGCTGTGAGTAAACAGTTGTGGATTATAATTACTATTTTTTTTAAAATCTTTTTGGGAGTTTTGTTTGTTTTTTCTTTTTTTTTTTTTTTTTTTTTTTTTTTAATGCACTGTGCCCTGATTAAAAAATTTTACTACTGTTTTATAAATAAATGTATAAAAGAATGAACTGGAATGGAAGAAGAATCATTAAAAATATATTTATTTACAACATCCTGGAGCGTGGCAGCTTCTTCTTTGTCCTGGAGGCTGGAACAGCATCACCTCTGGTTTTGGGGACTCTCCTGCCCAGTGCAAGGGGAAAAAAAATCTGTTTTTAAAGTGTCCTGCTGAGCTTGTGCCTGGCAAAACTTATCCCAAGCCACATCTGCAGCCCCTCAGCCACGTGCCAGACTCCCACTCCCCTCGGTGCTGGTGTTAAACACACACAGGAGGGGGAAAAAAGCGAGAAAATCCACCTTAAATTAGACTTCCCAGGCTGGAAAATCACAGGGGTTTACCTTAGAAACTTTATTAAAAGGAGAAGGAGGGGAAAAAAGAGCAAGAAGAGGCTGAGGGGGGGCAGAAGGAGCGAGTGGTTCCAGACACTTTAGAGGAAAAAAAAAAAATTAAAAAAAAAAAGAATCCCTGATTTGATTTATCAGGGGAGTGTGAACACTAAATAGAGAACAACGCCTGAAGTGTGAATTATTTCCTATATTAACACAGAGAAAAACTGATAGCCTTTTCATGTCAGGAGAATAGCAGTGGGGAGGGAGGGGAGCCAATGACATTGTTCCAGCCCGGGCTTTGCTCACTCTTTATCAGCCCGAGATCAAAATTTATTCCCAGGATGAGGCCTGCGGCCCGGCTGAGGCCCTAGAGATTTTTAAGGGCCTAATTAAGAAAACAGGATGAAAATGGCGAAATAAGAGGGCAATTTACTTCTTGCAGAATAGGGAGATCAAATCAACTTATGAGCAATTAATGTGCACAAGGAGAGAATAAAGGGATGCCGGGATGTGGAAGAGGGGCCTCATTTTAATGACACGCTCTGGTGTTGGCAGAGAGGATTTACTCTGAAGGTCAGACGGAGATTGAAACGACCTTGCAGATTCTTAACCCTCCTTCCAATTAACAGAACCAACTCAGAAATGCAAAAGAGCCCGGCTCGATGTGCTGCGGGGAGGAGAGAGGGGGGAGGAAATGAGATGGTAAAGGAGAGAGGGAGGACGGAAGGGGCTTTCCTCGATCCTGCGGCCTGGGGACGGCCCGGGAGGCGGAAAAGCCCAGGGAGAGGGAGAGAGGGGGAGATGGAGGGGATGGGATGGGATGGGATGGGATGGGATGGGATGGGATGGGATGGGCTCTGTGGGCTGCAGGAACTGGGAATGGGACTGGGAATGGGAATGGGACTGGGAATGGGACTGGGAATGGGAATGGGACTGGGAATGGGAAAATGGGACTGGGATGGACTAGGATGGACTGGGAATGGGACTGGGAGGGACTGGGAATGGGACTGGGATGGACTGGGGCAGAGTGGGAATGGGACTGGGAGGGATGGACAGACCAGAATGGACTGGGATGGATTGGAAAGGACTGGGAATGGGACTGGGATGGACTGGGACGGACTGGGACAGATTGGGACTGACTGGGAGGGACTGGGACGGACTGGGAGGGACAGACAGACCGCGGGATGGGGACAGCTCTGAGGCCACCGGCGGGGACAGTCCTGCTCCCACGCTGCCCCTGGCGCTGTTCCCAATTTCGGGGCCGCTCCCACGGCAGGGAGGAAGGGTGGGGACACGGGAGCGGCTGCCGGGGACCCCGGGGGGGGGACACGGGCGGGCTCGGGCCGGCGGCGAGGCTGCAGCGGGGCTGAGCAGCCACAAGAGAGAGCCCGAAGGTCGCGGAGCAGCGGGGCCGGGGATGCGCGGCCGGGGAGGGGGAAAGGGGCGATCCCCGGGGCTGGGGGAGCCTGGGGAGCTCTGGGGGTCCTGGACACGGCGATTGGGGCTCTCAGCCCCCTCCTCAGAGCTGGATCCCACAGCAGCAGCAGCTGGAGCTCACCCGGAGGAGGCGCCGGGGGATGCTGCAGGGATGGAGCCCCTCTGGAGCCAGGCTGGGACACCTGGGGGGCTCACCTGGAGAGGGGAAGGATCCAGGGACACCTGGGGGAAGGATCCAGGGACACCTGGGGGGCTCACTGGAGAGGGAAAGGATCCAGGGGCACCTGGGGGGCTCACCTGGAGAGGAGAAGGATCCAGGGACACCTGGGGGGCTCACTGGAGAGGGAAAGGATCCAGGGACACCTGGGGTGCTCACTGGAGAGGAGAAGGATCCAGGGACACCTGGGGGGCTCACCTGGAGAGGGAAAGGATCCAGGGACACTTGAGGGGCTCACCTGGAGAGGGGAAGGCTCCAGGGAGAGCTCAGAGCCCCTTCCAGGGCCTGAAGGGGCTCCAGGAGAGCTGGAGAGGGACTGGGGACAAGGGACAGCACACAGGGAATGGCTCCCACTGCCAGAGGGCAGGGCTGGATGGGATATTGGGAATTGGGAATTGTTCCCTGGCAGGGGCTGGGATGGAATTCCCAGAGATCCCTGGGGTGTCCCGGGCCAGCTTGGAGCAGCCTGGCACAGTGGGAGGTGTCCCTGCCCTGGCAGGGGTGGCACTGGATGAGCTTTAGGGCCACTCCCAATTTTAGGATTCTGTGTGGGAGGTGCACCCTGCAAACCCCAGCTCTCCCTGGTAGTGAGGCTGGAATTTTCAGGGATTTTCCCACCTTGTTGTGGGGCTGACACCCTCCCCAGGCAGGAGCAGGGATGCTCTGGGATGCAGCCACACCCCCTGTGCTGCTGCAGGTGCAAGATCTGGGTTTAGTTCTGTTATTTCATGCCCTGGAATACAAATTTGGCTTGTCTGGAAGCAGAGATGTGTGGACACAGAGCTGGGAATTCCCAGCAGCAGCATTTGGATGTGTCTCCAACCCCTCACAAGCTCTTGGGGCAAGTTGTGTCTGCAGCCTTCTCAAAAATCCTCATTTCCAGTTGTTTCTCAATTCCCCGAGTGTTTTCTGCAGAAACTTTCCTTGGGAAGGGAAAATAAATCTTTAATATAATATAATAAATATAATAAACATTATATTATATGATATAATATAAAAATATAATAAATAGTATATGATATTATATAATATAATGTAATAAATATAATATAATACTATATTATATAATACCATATAATAAATATAATATAATATAATATAATATACACAATTTATTAAAGATATATATAATAAATAATATATATAATGGTACTGATGTGTATTAATATATATAATACATATAAGGCTGGGTTTGATGCTGAGGGAGGAAGGAACAAGCCCGAGCAGAGCCATCCCTCAGCACCCTGGAGATGATGTGTGGCCAAGCCCTGAGCAGAGAGCAGTGAGGAGGGGAAATCAAGGGGTTTCACCCCAAATCTTGGCCTCTGAACTCATCCCCAGCAGGCCCTGGCAGGGACCAGCCCAGCCCTGAGGTCAGGAGCCATTCCCTGCCTCTGCCTGAGTTTCCCTTCTCCCTTCATTTCATGCCTGGCTCCCCCTGAGCCCTCTCTGTGGTTTGAGCCCTTTCTGTGGTTTGAGCCCTTTGTGTGATTTGAGCCTTTTGTATGGTTTGAGCCCTTTCTGAGGTTTGAGCCCTTTCTGTGTTTCAGCCCTTTCTGTGGTTTGAGCCCTTTCTGTGTTTCAGCCTTTTCTGTGGTTTCAGCCCTTTGTAAGGTTTGAGCCCTTTCTGTGGTTTGAGCCCTTTCTCTGATTTGAGCCCTTTCTGTGTTTCAGCCCTTTCTGTGTTTCAGCCCTTTGTAAGGTTTGAGCCCTTTCTGTGGTTTGAGCCCTTTCTCTGATTTGAGCCCTTTCTGTGTTTCAGCCCTTTCTGTGGTTTGAGCCTTTTGTGTGGTTTGAGCCCTTTTTGTGGTTTCAGCCCTTTCTGAGGTTTAAGCCCTTTCTGTGGTTTCAGCCCTTTGTGTGGTTTGAGCCCTTTCTGTGTTTCAGCCCTTTCTGAGGTTTCAGCCCTTTCTGTGTTTCAGCCCTTTCTGTGGTTTGAGCCTTTTGTGTGGTTTGAGCCCTTTTTGTGGTTTCAGCCCTTTCTGAGGTTTGAGCCCTTTCTGGGTTTCAGCCCTTTCTGTATTTCAGCCCTTTCTGTGGTTTGAGCCCTTTCTGGTTTCAGCCCTTTCTGAGGTCTGAGCCCTTTCTGTGTTTCAGCCCTCTCTGTGGTCTCAGCCCTCCAGCTGCTCCAAACCCACCCAAACCCCAATCCTTGGCCCCGCGGCCTCTCCTGGGGCTCTTGGGGATGAGCTCAGCAGGGAGGGATGGTGTTTCAGGTGGGCAGCAGCCACACAGCTGCCCTGGCTCCCAGGAACCTTGCGAGGAAACCTTTGCAGTAAAGAGGGAGAGGCTGGGAAACCTCTGATGCCTGGCCAGGAATTGATTCCAAAGAGAAGGGGCTCTGTGGGTGTCTCTGGCTGGGGAGGGTCTCTCCCTGGGTCTGCTTGGCCTGCTGCTTTTCCATCAGAAGCTCTGGAATGCTTGGAGAGCCCTTGGGATTTTTTGGGGAGCCCTCGCTCCTGGTTTAAGGCTGGGAGGATTTTTGGAAGTGGCTGTGTGCTGCAAAGCAAAGAACTGTGGGGTGAAGGATGGTGGGGCTGGGAAAATGTCACTGTAAGACACGAAAAAACATGATTTGAGCACGAATTCCTGATGAATTCCTCACCCTAAACCCCTTTAGGCTGCACCCCAAATCCTGGCTGTCTGCTCCCTCTGCCTGAATGCCCATCCTCGGATTTTCCTGCCATTTGGCAGTGTGGGATTTCTCATCCCACTGCACCCCAAATCCTGGCTATCAGCTCCCTCTGCCTGAATCCCAGTCCTGGGATTCTCCTGCCACCTGGAAATGTGGAATTCCTCACCCTAAACCCCTTCAGGCTGCACCCCAAATCCTGGCTGTCTGCTCCCTCTGGAGCCACCCTGAATCTGCATCCTGGGATTTTCCTGCCACCTGGAAATGTGGAATTCCTCATCCCACTGTGCCCCAAATCCTGGCCTCTGTCTGAATCCCAGTCCTGGGATTTTCCTGCCACCTGGGAATGTGGAATTCCTCATCCCACTGGGCCCCAAATCCTGGCCTCTGTCTGAATTCCAGTCCTGGGATTTTCCTGCCACCTGGAAATGTGGAATT